GCCACTGCTCCAAATTTTAAGCTCCTCTTTGACATGCTAAACATTGAGTTTGTTCAGTTTTCTCTTGTACCACACTTTTCTCTGGCTTTGAATTCAGTATTTTTGCTCCTTTCTGTTATTTTGGGCCCTGTAAGGAAAGCAGGAGTTTGGCATATGGCTTCTGCAAGCACAGATGAATACTCACACACAATACAGCTTCCATTTTCTGGACAGGCTGGCATTTGGAGCTGGCTTTTTTAACAGGAGGACTGGACAGGAATCAATTCTCTGATCATATTAAGGTTATAATGATCTCACATTTTCTTACTCTTCCTGTGACACTTCCATGGCATTTAGAAAAAATTCAATTCTCTCCCAAATACATCAGTTGAGGTTAGTCTTTAATGACAGCAATCAGCCAGTGTGGAGAGAAAAACACTCACCTCCCCTTAGCTCTGTCTGGCCTAGGATGACAAAATCTCTCTTTACCCCTACATTTTAAAAGGAGATGTTGCATACTTGGGTCAGCAAAACGAGTCTGGTTTAAATTTATTAAGCATTTCAGATTATATCTGTTCTCACCTTATTTTCCAGTCCACCAATTCTGCACATTTTAATAGAAGAGATTTTAAAATTATTTCCAGCTCACTGAGGAAAATAATAAGCAGTGGCAGGTTTAGGATTATCCTTAACAACATCCCTAAAGCACAGAGAATGATTTATCCACTGATGGCTTCCTGAGATCCTGTCAGACATGAAACTCCTAACCCAATTCAAGTGTGTTTGCTGATAGACAGAAAGCTGATTTTCTAATCTCAGTGTCATGAGACACTAAATATGGTGTGTTAGAGGTAAATGTCTATGTTGCCTGTCACATATATGCAAGAATCAGAGTCTGAGAATACCTGGAATGAAATCAAATCTGTCTGACAAACTATACTTTCTGTAAAATTTCTGATTTATATTTTTTTGTATTACTATATGCTAATTATTTTATTAACTTAATACCCCTTCAGGTTTTCCATTAGCTTGTCATAGAATAAACTTTGCCACTTTTCTTCCTTTTAAAATATTGGTAGAACAGCAAACTCTAATCTGGTGAAATTTCTTTGATACTCTTACATATAAGAGAAATGAGTACGCTTAGGCCAGTCAAGTCTTCACCACCTTTTGTTTCATTGCTCTGCTGATTTTAGTGCTTGCCATAGTATGTGTTGCTTCACAGCTTTCTGGGTTACTGAGGGATTGGAAAGTATTTCATCACATCCCAGTGATAAGAACACGTAAATACAGTGCAGAACCACTTCTTCTACCTCTTTATAAACAACTTTGGTATCAAAGCTCATTATTTTTGCCATAGGAGATTATGTCTGTCTATAGATTCTTGTTTCGATTCTTACATTAAAAAAAAACAAACAAAAAACAACCCACAATCATTTTTTTAAAGGAGTTATCATTCTCAGGCAGCAGTTGCCCGTTGCTTGTGGACAGGCTGCCCTGTGGAGTAGTAAGGAGGTGGCAAGTGCAGTATATAGAGTATATATTCAATAGAGGGGCAGTATGGTGGCATTCCTCTGGATACCAGGGAGCCTGTCCTGGCCCATGGGTCACAGGAGGAAAGCATGGAGTCATGTCCCAGTCACAATCATGGAATAAACTCCAGATCCATGCTGGTCCTTCCACAGGAAGTTAGAAATTTTCTAACTTCTGGTTATCCATGGCAAATATGCTGCAGGCAACTGCCCTTCTAAAAAAACATGACATGAATTGAGGCATTTTTTTCTATCCAAGAGCATGTAATTTAAAAATATCCTTTGCTTAAAAGGAGTAATAACAATGAATATTTTATAAGTTGACAAAAATAAGTATTTAGCAGAGCTCTGATTAGAGAGAAGATGACAAGTGAAATGAGTTGGGAAGGGTGGGAGGATGGAAGAACATGGGCAGGTGAAGGCAGCTAATGCCCAGTGATGCTGGGTCTCTGGAGACTGACACAAATCTCAGCAGATGCTTTACACTAAAGCTGACCAAACCAAAAATGTAAAAATGTGTAAATTGTCTTCAGGAAATACACTGTGAATCCTTCTAGCCATGCACTTACTAGTCTATTATTTGACAAACACCGTGAAGAAGTTTCTGATAGACCCTGAATTTATTCAAGAGAGATTCATGCTGTGGCAATGCTGAACAAAGGCATCCAGGCTGCAAACATCTGAGAAAAAAACAAGGCAAGGTATTCAGCAGAACTGCTGTTTTCAGCATTTACCTCTCTCTTTGCCTTGCAAAGGACTGATGTGAAATGCTTTGCTTGTACTTCAAAAAGCTGTGACTTGACTTGCTTGGAGAAGAATGAAGCTTTCTGCTTCTGTTGCCAGTGCCAGTGCTGTGGGCAGCCCGCTGTGATCCAGCTGAGCCCCACTTGGCTGAGCTTGGCTCAGATGATACCATCACATGGATGTCTCATGCAGAGAGCTCCCCTTTGCCTCTGCTGCTCCTTAGGCCATTGAACCGAGTTAAAGTGATCTCGCTCTGATCTCAGGCTAATGAGAATTGGGAATAACAGAACACTTGAGGCCTGTGAAGGTACGGTGCTCCCAGAGCACACTCTGTGGTGTCCAAAAGGCTGGAACAGAGAGAGACTGGCCATGCTGGTAGCACGGGCTGCTATGAAATCACCACTCACCTTTGAAAACACATTAAGTCAGTAAAGAAAATATATGAACAAAAGCAAACAGTTGAGGAGCTTGCATCCCTGCAGAATGTGTGATAAAGCATTTATTAGTGAGAAGGAGGCTTTCAGGCAGAAATATCTGCACAGAATTGCAGATGTAAAGCATGGCAAAGCTTTCACCTGACCCACAAAGCATTCCTCCTGAAACTACAACTCCTAAAAAGGTCAATATTCACATAAAGGAAAAATATTCACATATCTTGCTACAGCAGCAGGGGAGGTGTGTGCATTCAGTGCTCTAATGCACATAAAAAAATTGACTCTTTCTGTTAGAACCTTTCTGCTTTGAGTCACATCAGCAAAAATATCTTACCATAGAAGAAAGACCTGTTTTGAAATACCCTGGGCAGGAAGGTGGTTGGACAGCCACAAAGCAGAAAACTGCCACTCTCCAGGAGAGGAGCAGGGCACAGGGCACTGGGGAAGCAGTGTTAGGGATCTTTCAGGCCTACTTGGATTCAGCTTTCTGGTGCCTGCACATGGCAGTTTAAAAGGAGATTCCTGAGGCCAAATTGTTTTGGACTGAAGCTACTTGACTGACTTTGACCCAGCTCCCCAACCAGATAAAATGACACATCCAACTTTATTTGGTATTTGAAGTGGTAGGGAAATGACTTCCCTGTTCTGCCAGAGGCCTCTTTTATTTAATGTTCTACAAAGAGGAAGAAACTGCATATAATAATGACATCTTGTGGTAGTTGTTGAATTATTGCCCTATGATTCAGTAGATAACCAGATGCCAAATTTCATGACATCTCTCTCTTTCCATGCTGCAGCTCTGCAAGCTCTAAGTTACAAATCCTCCTGCTCTGAGAAGCTGGACATAGAAGACCTCTGGAACCCTTGGCTAGCGACTTCAGAGGAAAAGGATATTTTGCAAAAGATATATTGCTGATAATTTTGATCACACAGATCTGGCTAAAAATGGAGGTCTGAAATTCATAGTCATACCTGATTAAAGAACCTGATCACAGTTATTATTATTCTATATAACATCATGTTATTCATACAGAAAATACTGCTTTTGATCATGAGTGCAGAGTGGCTCTGCCCCATAGAATGAGCCTGCCTTTGCTGCACCATGGCTTTGTACTGGGTGTGAGAGAAAAGAGTGACAGCTTTTGCTGCAGCATGTAAAGTCTGACAGCTGCTGAACACCTGCACTGGGCTTGCAAACAGCCCTGGTGAGCAGCCACCAGCAGCCAGTGGCTGGGGATGCAGGGTTTTTGAGTAAATGCCCAAGTCCTCAGTGCTTCTACTTATTTCAGCTTTGGTGCTCAGGTCTGTAGCTCTTGCCATTAACCAGGTATCCAAGGGTCCCATGAAGCTCAAGCTTACTGCAGGCTGTGTGACATTTCATATTTAGGGTCCATAACTGGGCTATTTAGCCCAGTTATTATTTTTTATTTACTCTGCCTGCCCATAATCATGTCCTTGCTGGTGCAATTTCTGCTGTGCTTGCTCTGGTTGAAGTTAGAGGCTTTTCAGAACAAACAGCACTTTTTCCTGCCAGTTTGTACAGTCCTTATCGGCAGAGAGGGGCTCAGCTCGTATCAGGGAGGTTGACTACTGCTGGAATAGTCATAATAAATAAGATTACCAGGAATGGCTTAGGGATATGTTTTACAGGGTGTCTCTTTATCCTGTCAAGTGTTTGGTGAGTATCCCTGAGGTTCACCAGGTCTCCAGGTCTGTGCTACTGTGACACAGTTTTGCTGTGGTTTTTTAATTGGGATGAAGGTGGCTTAAACTACATGCCAAACACCTTTGTGTTTTCTTCTGGGCTACCAAGGCCTCATAAAGAGACTCACAGCTTATACACAAGATTTACACACAGCTGTTTCCCAGACGCAGGGAAGGAGGCAAGAAAAGACTGAGTCACTTATGAAGAGCTCAAAGGTGATGGTGAAATCACACACATGTATGAAACAATGCTGCTGATCAGCTCTGGTAGTACAGAGTGCAGACTGACAGACCACTGCTACTACATTTAATGTATCATGGCATCTCTTCCCCATTTGCCTGTCTCTGCCAGAGCTCCAGGTGCTCACACTGGATACTGGGTGTAACAAGCTCTGCCTCTTTCCTTCAGAGACACTCGCTGGATTCCCTATTGGTATGGAAAATTCCTAAAGATAATCATGAGACCCCATGACTTCATAATATCCAATGATAGCTGTTCAGCTGTATCGATCTATTTTTTTTTCCATAGAATGACGCCACCTACTGGACTTTATTAAAAGAGGCAAAACAGTTCAAAGAAAATAAATACTTTATACTGGGTTGTTTCTTTTTTTTTAAGCAAAGAAGGTTAAACTTTCCTACAGTTCAATTGCCAGAAAAAGATCTCCTATTAGGACAGCCAGAAAAAGAGCTCCTATTAGGACATCAGGATGGTTATGGTACCTCATTAGACAAGAAGAAAGAATAGAGGCAGAAATACCACAGGCAACACTGACTATCTCTGGGGAAGAAAAAGAAATTAAGGAAAAAAATTACAATTTAACAAGACAGCTTTTATCCCTTTTTCCAGTGGGACTATAAACAAGAGCCACAGAATCTCGGACTTTTTGTTAGTTTTTTTTTTTTAACTGAAGTGTGTTGAGGGTGATCATTTTTAATTGACTTTGAACGTGTAGTGGTAAAATCATTAATATTTAAGACTGCTCTCAGTCTGGCTAAGAAGTTGTCTTTACTAAAAGAACATTCCCTTCAGCTAAAAACCAACAGTGTGATTGTTTCCAACTTCCCACTTGTGAGCTAAGACAACACAGTGTGTGTCACTAATCAGAGCCATCTTTCCATATTGCCACGTTGTTCACCCTTTGGTTCCCCAGAACTGGGGCAGTCAGCAAGCTGCTGAAGGCATCCTGTGCCTCCAGGAAGGGATACCTGGCTTTGTTAACACTGAAATGATTGCTTTTCCTTACCTCTTCCTTTCTGTCTTTCTGAAAGGCAATACAGGTTTGTTCTCTGCAATCTAAGGACAGGGGAGGAAAAAGATGCTCCCCCAATGTTCTCTCACTATAATCATAGTTAATACAGGTTTTGTTCAGCCTGTCCTAATTTTTGTTTTTATCAGCTTATTCATAATCCCCCTGGTGGCAAATGTTTTTTAATTATTTACCTTCTGTAATATGAAAGTAATGACAAGATACTGATTGGAATTTTTTTTAATACAAACTTCGCAAAGCAGCAATTATAATAAATCTTCATTTTTTAAAATTTAATTGATTAAATATGTGTTGCTCTTGTCATTATTATGTTAACAGTCCCTCAGATCAAGTTGGACTTGATTTCAAAGTTATTTCAAAACTTGGCACCTCTCAATGAAAATCTCTTCCACTTTCAGCATTAGACATATGGTCTCATTTCCTCCTGATGTTTGTAACAAGGTATCCACCTCAGGCCCATCCAGACTCTTAGGAGTTGCTTGCTTTACAATCTTGACCTCAGCCTGCCTATAACAGGTTTATTAATGCAAAATTCTGCCCACCATGAAGGTCTGTTCAGAGTTTTGTTGCCTTGAAGGATCTCTCCCCACATATTTTTATATAACTGCAAAATAATAATAAAAAAAGGATTAATACATAGAGAAGAAACAAAACTTCTGCAAGATGGATTATTGAGCTAACTTATTGGATGAAATGAGATTTTGATTGAATTTCTAGATAAAAAATGTGAATAATTATGTACAGACCAGAGCAAACAACAATAAGTACAAAATTTCAAAGTACTGTAAACATCAGATTTCTGTGTGAGTCATTTATGCCACCCTTGGAATAAGAGCAGGAAACCAGTAACCTTTATTATTTCTCATTTTCAACTTGACAAGAGTCATATTATCAAAGGTAGAAATTTGGAAACAAGATTATATTAAGTTAATATAAGTCCAAACCTGAGGACAGTGTCTGAAAGCACTCATGGATGGTTGCTGTTACCTTTGTCTGAACACGCTTCTGGAAAGTAACAGAACTTCTCTCCCAGTGTGAACTGTTTGATTTGAGCACAAGAAATTCTTCTCTCCAGAGCAGATTGTTTATCTGGCATTTTACCAATTTGCAATTGTTTTGTGGAAGAGTTAAAAAGAAGCAAATTTTGCAAAAGTATATAATCTTAGCAATATTTGTCAATTCATATTTAACAAAAGCTTAAAACTTTAAATAACTTAATAGGAAAATCAGGAAAGAAAGAATTATTTTCAGCAGTAAGAGAGTACGATGTAACAAAATATTAATGTAGCATAAAAGCAGTCAGTGAAGTGAAATGCCTTTTTTCTTCATCAAAAGATCCTGTGGCCCTAAATATCTGCTGTGACTTAAAAAAATATTGAAATATATTTAACATTAAATATATTTTACATTGATTACATGGGCTAATGCTAACTACTTACTCCATTCTAATTTTGATTAAATATTGTCTAAATTTTTTTTATTAATCCTGAAATAAATGTGGCAATGCCTTCACGGACTTAGGCTAAGATTGTCAACTCTTTATGGAGAAATTATGTCCATGCTATCAAAGTTTCTTTTAAACAGAATTTGAATTCTTCTTTAGGGATTAAACTGCCTATAAAAAGATTTGGAACTTTTCCCCAGCTCCAGCTATGATCTGTGGCTTATGGTGCAAGGCACTCCACTGAAGTACAACATAACTCATCCTGAATTAAATTCACCTTTTTGTTATATTTGGATAATCCATTATTTACAATACTGTATTTTTTACTAAAATGTTTGCATTGGTTCTTAGAAGCTGCAAAGATAGCAATGAATAGAGGATTGAACATAGACAGCCAGGAGACAAGGATCTTTATTAAGTATTTTCTTTGAGTGAGGGACTGGCAGCCTTTTTTGAATTTCAGTTGAAAACAGTTACACAAGTTGAAAACCACAGACTTACAGGCAGTTCAGAAAACCTTCCTGAATTCTATAGAACACAGGTTGAATGGCATTGCCACAATGATTCAATGAATTTATAAGAAATTAAGTACATGAGTCAGTGTTTATATTCCTACATGCATTTCTCACATGTTATACTTCTAATATTAGTATCAAATCTAAATAGGTCTCTGTGGCTTCTGCATTTGCAAGAGCTAAGAGCAACCCAATGAGAAGCCAGCCAAATCTATCATGACAAGAAATCTGCAGGTGACTCCTAGAAAGGGGATACTATTCTAGGAATGGATCACTGTGTACTTGTACCATATTTTATATTTCTGCCTATAGCATCTGCTCACAGCTTCTGCTAGAGACAGAAAAATGTCTTAAAATAGGCTTTTGGCCAATATAGATACTCTTAACATTCTAATAAACTGTGCTCCGCTGAAGAGTTACCTTTGGAACTTCCCTCCCATGACCTCTTTCTTTAATTTAATCCTCAAAAACCTACAGAAATGGAAACAAAGTTTCCAGTGATGATTACATACTTCTAGGAGATGGCTGGATAGGTAGAACCAGCCTTTCCTGCCTCATTTGCAAAGACTGTGCTAACAAAGTAATCATTGTGTTAGGTCAGCTTAGAAACATCTGTTCTGCCCTCTGTATTGCTGGATCACCATGGGAACAAGGGGCAACTTCAGACAAGCAGTCGCAGGAAATACTGAAAACCACGGAGTCTGATGCAGCATTCCTGTCAAACATCTGGCTCCAGGGATTATCTACAGTGTCCATCTACACCCACCCAAACTACTGTACTGTGACACTGCTCTCTACAGAAAAGTTATCCCACAGCTTGGCCCTGATGAGTAGGTTTGGACCAGTAAAAATGAATTTTGGTTTGCTGAGACTTTGGAAGAAAATACAGATCTTGAGATATGTCAAGAGCAGGAGCTGTTGTAGCCAACACCATGGTGCATCCACATCCTGAGTCCTGCTTATAGGTTGGGTTATGCCACTTCAGAAAGGATATGGCAGAAGCAGAAAATAGACAAGGAAAGCAAGGTCTGTAAGAGGAATGAAAAGGCTCCCACAGACAGTAAACAGATATGGACTGGGACTAGGAAGTATTTTCTCACAATACGCATAATTAAATTGTAGAAATGATGGTGTGATATAAGCCAAATGACAGCTGAATTTGAAAATGGATGGAAAAAAAATGAAGAATAGATACATCTGTGGCTACTAAGCAGAATGATACAAACAGAACCTATGGCATGAGATATTTCTTAAACTGCCAACAGCTGAGGCATCAGGAAAAGAGCACCTCTGTTGCTATTTCATCTGTCTCACAGTGTTCTCTTTGGCCATCCATCCCTGTCAGCCACAGAGTATCCTGTGAACTGAATCCAGTGTGGTCCTTCTTATGCTCTTAACTCCTGCTTTGTGTAAATATACCAAAAAATCTCACTCAGCCCATTTTTGGTTCAGTGCACAGATGTTCACAACAGCAACTACAGCAATACCATACAAGTTTCCCATTGAAGCTTAAACTTAAGCTCTCCAGGAAATGAAAAAGTTCATTTTCTGCTGAGATCAATTTAATTCTGGTAGTATTTTCCACTGAAAAATTATCTTTCTTTTCTTTTGTACTTGTAAAATGTCTTGAATATGTTAAGGCTAATTACAGGCAATAGTCTTCTTCATGGTTATACTTAAAATTTTACAATGTGTTTTCTTACCTCTCCATTTGCTTTACCAATGGGAGAATTGAGAATGAAGTCAGAAGGAGCAAAGACATCAACCAGGGCAACTGCATCATCTTTCAACTGTTTAAAACCAAAGGACATAGATTTGACAACTTCTGTAGTTGTCTATAGCTGAAGTACAGAGCAGAATAAAAATTATTTGTGTAAAGTACCAACTTTGATAATTTAAGAGAAATCCACAATAAGTAGCCTAGTTTTATTTTGATTTGTTTCACTCTCTGGGTAACTGCAAAAAGAGACCATATTTCAAATATTCTCCTCCTTTACCTAGGGGGTTTTAAAACATTTTAACAAATATGCTGTTGCTTATACATATAAACACAAATATTTTTGGACTTCAAAAACAAAATTATCAGATTATTCTTTGAAATTTTGCTGACCTGCAAAGAATATGTTGCAGTTTGGAAAGGTTTTGTGCTAATAAAGATAAAAATCACAAACTAACTCAATAATGAAATAAAAAAAAACAAAACATTGTCTTTCCAATGAAGATTGCAAGGCCACAAATGCTGTGGTGTTATTTGGTAGGACATATTGTTTTCCATTTATTGACAAATAAATTAAGACTAGATTCAGAGTCAATGAGTTGCTAAACTTTACAGAAAATTAATCAGAAACTATTAATGTAATATCCTGCTAACGTACTCCTTGAAGTACAGAATAATCTGATGACTATAAACCATGTATCTCTTTTTTAGTGTTTATATACTATATATTAAATCATAATAAACAGACTTACCCTGTAGCAGAGCTCCAGAATAGCATCCTGAATAAATTTCCCAGGTTGTTCACCTGAAGCATAGCCACCTTAAAAACATTCACAGAGAAGCTTATACCACTTGAGATTACACTGGCACAAACTTTTTGCCAAGTTCAGTAGCCAAGACTAAGTAGCTGCACCAGTGTAATTGAACTGACAGTCTTTCATTAATGAGCTGACTGCACAACTCTTAATCTAAGCTATTTAGCTCCTTTTGCAGTAAGGAGCTACACTACAGCATCCTGCTGCCTATTCCTCATCCTTTCACACAAGCACTGGATCACAGCAAAACCTGTGATCTCTCCACCATCTCCAAGGTAAGTTAAGTTTTTGCTGCAGATTCCTGCTCCTGAAAATTTGGTTGAGAATGATTGTTTTGTACTAAACAAGCAGTAAGAAAATGCTGTAATATAAATTGTTGCTAGGATTCTCTGCCCCAGCCAAGTCAGGACTTTATAAAAGTGACATGCACAGCACATTCAGGGAGCTGATCTCACCTTGGTAGAGCACAGACAGGTATTTATTCAAGGACCAGAGCCCATAGAGAGCACTGAGGTTCCTGAGCACTGGCTGCAGAGCCGCCGGGACGCTGGGATTGTGAGTGTAGTCGTGGTAGCGCTGTAAGGCTGCTTGCTCAATAAAAGCAATAGCCAGAGATCGACAGTAGTACACCTTAGGAGACAGGGAAAAAGGACACTGAGTAACCAAATACAAAGAACCAGTCAGCCTGTGAAGAATGGCATTGTTCTGGTGGAGTTAGTGGAGTTCTGCTGATTTAGGTCTGATGATTTAGCTTGAGAAATTCAAAGAAACATTAGGAGAAAACACTTTCCACAATGTCTGTGCAAATGTTAGTTATGAAATGTCTCTTGAAATGCCTACAGAAGTAAGACAGAATGCCTAATTACCAGTGTAATTTGGCAGCTGCACCCAGGGTTTATGAGATCAAGAAGCTACATCAGAGAGAAGACAATATAAAATCAGGTCTGATGAATTTAGGATTGTTAAGAAACCCACACAAATCTAAGAATAAAAAGGTAGGTTTGTATTTATTTAATATGATCCAGAGTTTTAAAAATCTTCCTATTGAAAAATTATTACAGTCCCTTCAAATAAAAAACAAAAATCTGATCATGTCAGCATGAGTGGATTCTGTTGATGGATTGTAATAGATTGCAGTATGTTTTGAAGGAACTATGCAACTAGTCTTTGCCAACTATCTGATGAGAAAGACAAGTCACCAGTTTCTGTTAGTGCACAGTATATAAAACCTTAGGTGACTGTATGTACTTACATTGGAACACTTGTCTACATTTATATACTTCAACTCTGCCATACATGCTGCTGTGGAATAGATTGCTGACTGATAATATTCAAGCTAAACAGCAGGGGGAATGTGATGCCATTGCTGTCCTGGCTGACTTGCTGCAATGACAAACTCATGTTTCTTTTTAGTTTGTTTTGTTAAGGTTTGGGTGTTTAATCATTTTCATGTAGAATTAGTTGATTAGTTTTAATTATTTTCTTTTAAATACTTGCATTATCATTGCATTTAGATCGACTGAAGCATGTAAGAAAGGCATATTCCAAAGATCACTGTCTCTCTCAACAGCAGCTGTCCAGTGGCTCACTTATGTCTATGAACAGCAAAATACACATCTATTCTCTGCAGCATTATGGAGGACTTCCCCCTTACTGGATGGTTTTTTGAGATATGCTAATTCCCTAGTCAGAATGAAATAAGTCTGAACATCACAAATGAAACACTGAGAATTATTTTCCCGTTGTTCTCCCCTATAATTCTATTTTCCTCTTTACCATTGCTTGCACTCCTGCATTGTTTCTATCAAGCTGCCCCCAAACCAAAATAACCTAGGGATAGGCCAGGAATCTCTTCCAGATCCCCCACAGCATGAACAAATATTTTGTATTAATCAACCACTGGGCTGACAGAAAAGTGTTTCTTCATGCCCAGAAAGTTTTAAATCAAATATGTACATGTCTTCAAAGCAAAGCTTCTAAATCATTTTCAGATGTTTTTGAGGCATGACGTTTAAAATAAAAAGTCCTGCTGTCCTGAGGATTAATTGTAGGGAGAGAAGAAAAATTAATGACCTAAAGCACATCAACACCTATCTCAAAAGAAGTTGTATGCCTGAACCTCTTTGAATTTTAAATATTTTATTTAAATACTTTTTATTTATAAAATAATAAAATTAATTAATACAGTAAATAATAAAGATTAAATAAGACAATCTTCATAGTTCTGAGCTCACCATTCTCTCTAATGCACTGGCCCCAGCACCAGCTTCATCAAAACCTGGCTAACTGACAGGCAATCAGACTGGCGTATCTGAAAATTCATATACCTGGATTTGACCCTGAAGAGCTTCTCTAATAAGCTGTTTCTAGGGTAAAAGCAGGAAAGATTTTCTCCCCTCTACCAGTGGTTTCACACAGATCATCCCCTATTGAAGCCAGGCAGGGTCTTTCTAGGTGCAGAGTTGAATGTTGACTATTCCTTCCTGCTGTTTTTTAGCTTTGCAGATAAGGTAAATGACACTGACCATCCTCAGGGAACTGACCTTTCTCAGTGACAAATGACAAGTGTTCATTCTTCATGTGAGCCAATTTTTCTCATAGAGGTAGTAGAGGAATGTGGTGAGCTTGGGGATAAATACTGAAATTTGGAGTTAAGCCATCCCTAGCTGTTAAACCTCTCTGGTGAGAGAGTGGATCTGCTATATGTAAATTGTCAATGTTTCCTTTCCAGGTTCCAGTGCTGTCAGTCTGGTATCTCTCATGAGTACTTTGCACTATAGGAATTAGAGATGAAAAAGACCTATTAGGTCATCTACTTTACCTACCTGCCAGAGCAAGATTCTTTCCTACATTATGTATTTGGCCACAAGCACAGATGGAGAAGTAATAATCAGATGCTGCATTGTATTTAATACTCACAGATTTAGTCCTCACAAGTTGTGCTATCAAAATTGCAGACATCACACAGCACATGCCTGCAACTTTTCTGAAGGGAAATATGTCCTGAATATATCCTGGAAGACTTCTGCTGATGTCTAACTGTCCTTGTGCTATCATGGTTTATGCAATGCACACGGTCAGGTATTAAGTTTTATTAGTTTTTTGACTTGCTGCTTTATGGTTCAGGAAATTGTACTTTATGACACAAGAAGATAAAACTAACAGAAACTGACAAACTTGGGTGAAAATAAAAAAATAAGAAAGGTTTTAATAAGTATTACCTGACAGTTGTTTTTTGCCTCAAAGTCACTTCGTCCAGCCTGCTTCTCCTTATTCATTTTTAGGTGACTTTCTCGGAGCAGGTAGCAAACCAGCCATTTATAAGCTGCTAAAGGAACTATAAAAAAGAAAAAAAGCAAAATTCTTAACATTCACGTTTATGATGCAAGAAGTCACATGAAAATTCTGGTGCAGTCACAGATTTTGTTACTTGAGATGAAAAGTGAAAGCATTAATTAATCAATCCATTGACATACCACTTTGTCCATTAATGTAGATACAATAAATATCTGGGGAGAACAGTCAGATTGAGAGTGGACAGTGAAGACATAACCATGTCTGGCCATACACTACTGCAAATTGACCCCAAGCTGAAAGACCAGGTGTATCCACAGCTCATCTTAGACTTAGACTTCTTACTTGAATAAATTTTATTATTTTTTTTTCCTATTAAGACTTAGGCCTGCAAGGTACAAAGTCTCTTCTGAGAATACAAGAACAGAAGATATTCCACAACTACTGAAAGCATGTGACTTGCAACATTGTTTTCACTGGTGGCTGAATGTAATCACATTTAAATTACCAGCTTTGCACATAATTGTGTCATATTTCTAAGAGCAGCTTAGAACTATTAAGGTAAAAAGTTATTCAGCATAAAGTGCCTGCATGAATCCTGCTTGCTTGTTTCTTAGCTGAAGATTTAATGTAGAATATACCTTAGGGTAGAGGGAGTGTTTACATGCTGCCTAAATTAAGGCATCTAAATTAACAGTCCAGTTTCTACCAGAACAAATCAAGAAACAGATTCAGGTATTTTTTAAACTATGGTCTGGTTCAGTAGGTATTACATGAGACAAGAGAACACATAGTGTTGCTCTCTCATTATGTGTTGGTATTCTTTTTAGCATCTTTTTAACTTTTGAGTCCAAGGGTCAATCTGGGCTCACAGTGATGCACAAATGGAAACAGCATCTAATGTCATACTTGACTTGATTATAGCAGAGTAAAGCAGGAAAACTACAGGGAACTTCTTTTCCATCATTACTCATTTTTCTCTATACAATCAAAAGCAACTGCCAAAAGCAGATGAACCTTATGCCTTTTCAACATGTAAATCCCTTGTATAGTTTTTCAAAAGAAGCTATTTAGTGATAGAAGGTAGTGGCAATCAATCCCCTTAAAACTGGAAAACAGCAATACATGGTAAAAAACCCTAACTCAGACATGTTATTTTAGAGGAACAAAAGAGGAGAAATAATATCTGATGCTATCCTCCATTCCAGAAGAGAATTTGGGGAAAATAAAATGTATTTTGAAACGTAAACTATGTTCTTAGCAAATAAAAATGCATATAATACAAAAAACGTCAGCAAACATGACAATTATCTAATAAGCAGCAGAGGTTGAATTTCAAATTTCTGGATCCCTTCCTTTGGAAAGGAATTTAAAATTCTAGAATCAGTTTAATAACAGCAGAAGCCTACCTGAGGAGTCCATGCAATCTTCAACACTAATGGCTGTGAATTTCCAGCCAAGGATATGATGGTAGTCTTGCAAAAAGTTTATTGTTCCCAAAGGGGATTCAAAAGGAGCTTTATCTGAAATACCAGAGAAAATAAAAATGATTTATGAGAAAAGAAACCAGACTTTTTGGAACTAGAAGCCTATTACAAAGCCATGCATACACTTGACAGGCCAGATGCAATTAGGCCATAATACTTATTTTATTATGGCCTAGTCCAGCCAAAAGAGGACTGGTGGACAAGTGTGGAAAAACCTGACATCACTGCCTATAATTTTTCCCCATAAGATTCAACTCCAACTGCTGATTTTTCCAGCTCTGTACGATGCTAATGAAAGTCATTGCTGGAAAACTGAAACAAAATCTAGAGAACTACAAGATGTGGTGATGGATATTGCTACCAAGTCCGGTGATATGAACTGTTCCAAGTACAATAAACAGACCTATGATGACTTTACCAATACAGAGTCACAGAATCATAGAATGGTTAGGGCTGGAAGGGACCTTAAACATTATTTTGATCTAACCCTCCCATCCTGGACAAGGATACCTTCCACTAGACCAGGCTGCTCCAAGCCCTGTCCAGCCTGGCCTTGAACATTTGCAGGGACGGGGCATCCACAACTTCTCCGGCCAACCTGTGCCAGTGTCTCATCACCCTTGCAGAGAAGAATTTCTTCCTAACATCTAATCTAAATCTCTCATCTTTTAGTTTAAAACCATTCTCCTTTGGCCCATGAGTAGCTGTCTACGTAAAAAGTAGCTCTCCCTCTTTTTTATTAGTACTGGAAGGCCATAATGAAACTTCTCTAGGGTGAAGATACCCAGCTTCCTCAGCCTGTCTTCATACCAAAGGTTCTCCAGGTCTCTGAGCATCTTGGTGCCTCCTCTATCACAGACCTCTAGAACATGCCCCCATCTTTCTTCTGCTTAGCACCCCAGACTTGGATGTAGTGCTAAAGAATTTCGGTTGAACTAAACTGCACCTCTCAGGGAGCAAGATATGACTTAACCTGATTAGGGATGGCAAAACATCTACAGCTAGCTTCTGCAGGACAGGAGAAAGAGTATTTCCTGCAGCAAATATTTCTGTGTTGTGAATGTATCATATGATGAAGTCTGAAGCACATTATTTATGCTTCACAAAATTATGAAATGACTGTCAATTGCTTTCAGTATGAAATTACCTCCTAATTCCATTAGCTACACACCGTTGAGTACAGCATAAGATTCCACAATGAAAACATACCTCTTATGCAATTCATCCAGCTCATCAAGTAGTTGCTGGTTTGCTGAAGCAGGACATTGTTATCTCCCTCATATGTGCAGTTTGGATCATTGTCATTTCGGATTTCACCCAGACGATTCACTTATGAAGAAGAAGTGCACAGTTTAATATATTGCAACACATCAGAAAAACCAAGAGAGATTAAATAATTATTCTGTGATAAAATGCAGGAGAGCCATCTCTTCCTGTAAAACTAAAGTTACAAACAGATGAGCTTGAAAACACACTGATTACCTTGTACATTAAAGATTTTAGAAGAGTGTGGCATTAAATTTACAACAGAAATTTTCATCTATAAAGTCTGCATCGTTGTATTCAAAATTGAGACTGAATTACTTATACAGTCTGTCAAAATGCTGTTGCAGATCTTGTATGGGTTTAGGGAGCTTTTTTTATGACTTCAGGTACAAAATAAAGTTTAAAAATATGGATATGAGGATAAAATACTTTCTAAACACATTGCTAAAATTCAGAAATCATAGCAGAACAGAAGATGAAGAACTCATCAAAATAGCCTTTCTCTTTCTGACCAGTGCATGCAGTGTCTGTAACTTACTGGCAAGGTAGCCGTGTCCTCCACAAGCTTCTCGGCACTCCTGGGCTGCCCGCTGAGCAGTCCAAGATGCCAGTGGTTTGCTGGCAGCAGATAAAGCATGAATCTCACGTCCCAAATCAGCCTTTGCAAAAAACAAATTACATACGAGGAATAATTTTTACAGAAATTAAGTTGGTGACCACCTAAAGCATAGATACATGTATTTCTTTATAAAGAACAGTAACTGGAAATACAGGCATAGAACTCTCTGAGATCTATGTAAGTGCAAAGTATATTCTTTGGTGCCACAGAAAAACCCTGACACAACTGAGAAACCTCCAGCACCAACTTTCTTATATGAGACAGCAATAATTTGTGTCAGGTAATGGACACACGGGGGCATCTTAGCTGAGCTGTACCGGCTGGCACAGCATTTGAGTGAGTTAGTTCACTAACTGCCAAGCTTTCCCTCCCAAAAATGGAGAAGCAGGTAGTTGAGGGTGGCCTGTCCAGAAAAGCTTCTATCCTATCTCTCCCCAGCCAGCACGATATTTATAATATTTATTGCCTTACATAGTTTTCACTGATCTTTTAAGCATCAGTTCTGCAAAGAGCAGGGAAACTTTTATGTACACCCTCAGAGACTCGAGAGGATCACAGTAGCCTGCATTTACATTAACTCTGTTGACCTTCCTTTGAAAATACATTTGGAATTCTGGTTTCTGGAGACAGGGGCTTGATACAACCAGAGCTTGTTTAAGAGCACCTCCCTGATTGGTGGCATTTGTTTTAAGATCTTCTGTAGAACAAAAAATGTAAGGGTTACATTCTTAAAATTTTCAGCAATGATATTAATTCCTATCATGACCTTTTTCTGATAGCCACTGTTTTCCCTAAGATTAGTGACTGCACTGCAGATCTCCAGAGATGAAGTATCACAGAAAAACTCAATTAAATTCTTCTGTGTTTTGTGCAAAGAGGAGAAATTAAAATACCCTACCATTAGTATAAATTATTTTGTGAGCTTTATTCTAGCTGTAAGGTCCTTGAGGATTTAAGCAAGACATGGGCAATAATACACAGCCAGTATGTAGGCCCTCAAAATTTTTATTACCAAAAATTATAAAAATAAATAAAATTTATATGCTGTAAAAACATATTATTGCAGTTAATTTGATTCAGAATCAGTCACTGCACAGAGAGTGATAGATTAAAATATTTCCTTTGTAAAGAGATGACTTCCAGCAGACTGATTGTGGATGAAAAATTACCCGTTAAGACTCAAAAGTCAACTTTTCTCACTAACATTATTTATTTTAATGCATGAATTTGAATTGCAAACTCAATCCAGACTTGGAGAGTCTGTGAAGGAATTAAGGTTAGTATATTTTCAGAAAATCTTTGATATATATGTTCCCTGTAGAATCACTTCCAACTATTATAAACTGAATTTACACCATCATAATATATTTATGATAAAAAATTCTGCAAGAGACCATAACCTTCAATCCCACAGAAATCAATAACACTTTAATCATTCCATCAACACTAATTTGATTGCTTTTCTAAACGAACTTCAATCAGTACTTTGTATGCCCCATATTTCTGAGAATTGCTCTGTCATTCTTGATCATTAGAGAGCCTAAGACTTTAAATAGGTCTTCCATTTCACAGTTTACAGTTTACTGTAGTAAGAATTCAGTGAAGAGAAAATGTGTAACATCTCACCTGTCTCTGACTCCGTTGCTTTGTCAACACACCTCCAAAAAACTCTACAAAGTTCTCAAACAGGGACTTTGAGAAATAATCTAAGGCATACGCAGCAGCCAGGTAAGGTAAAAGACGCCATTGCTGGAAAAAAAAAAAGAATTAAATTGATTTAATCACGAATTGATATATGTTTTACATAGTTATATTGAACCAACTCTGTGTTCAAAATGGAAAACTGCTTAATGGAGAAGAGAACAATAACCACCTATCATCTAATTTAATTACATTTAATTATGTTATAGGTGGTTATTGTTATCTTTATACAAATTATGGTTGTATTCTTTTAGTTCTCATGTTTCATGAATTTGTGATAAGCATTCTGTTAAACCAGGGAAAAAGTTCACTGAAGCTTTGAGGACCAAAGACATATTTTTGCCATGTGTTTATAAAATGTCTGGCATGTCAGGGTCAGTCATGATTCATAAGTTTCTTCAGTAGAAACATGACAGAGGTTGTAACCATTTCATGGGGCTCACAAAGGAAAAGAAAAATTGCTTTAAAGTGTTTGTGGGAAAGGAAGAAGAGAATTAGAGTTTCAGCAAGCAGAACCCACAGAACAACCCAAAACTGAGAAAAATTGAGACTCAAAGAATAGTGGAAAGCACACCCTGGCTTATTCAGAAATGGTGGAAGGAAGGCACCTTCCACCAGGTTGTAGAAATACATGAAACCTTTCAACATTGCAAGGTAAGTGTCTACTTGGTAAAAGGCTTGGACTTTTGCAAATTCCTTGGACACTGCAAGGACCAACTGGGCAGGTTTGTTTTCAGCACTTCTTATACATTAACCTTTGTCATTCAGCAGATCTGAGTTTTCTCTTTCCCCCAGTTATTCTCAATGCACTTTTTCTATTTTTTTTCAGTCCAAAAATTGTTTTTCATCTGTATAAACTGCAGGTAAACCTTGGTTATAATCCTCTTTAATTCAATAATTCAAATATTAGCTTGAGACTTCTTTACAATGAATGTCATTGAGTTCTATACTTTTAAAGCATACAGGCTACAAATAAGAAACTTACTGCAGCAATAAAAGAAGCAGTGGTGTTTTGAAACAAATGCTACTTTCTACATCTGCAGTACTTTTTCATGTCCCTGTAAGACAGTCTTTCTGTTAAAAGGTTACTATTTTAGGAGACAAATGCTTCTAGACACTTCAGAGAAACATGATTTTTTTTTTTGTTTTGCTATTCCAAGAACCTATGTTAAAAGTCTGGTCATGCCAGAAGAAGGTTTGAGTTGGAATGAACCCCCACAGCTGTACTAGAATGTTGCTTCAGGTGACACAGACAACTTTCATTTCACTAACTTCAGAGTCACTGCTGTGATCTGTAGTGGTTCTGAATGTGAGTTTCATATATAGAAGTCTGCAGATTGAGTTCCAAAGTATTTACCTGTGTTTGGTATTCAAGGACAGGTATTTCTTCATCCTCAGTTGGTCCAAACTGACAGCGAGCAGCTGAGAAGCGAATGGCTATTGCCAAGGCAAGCTTTAAATTGGTGACGGAAAGTGCTGTGATCATAACTCTGCCACTGGACAAGGATCCCAGAGCTGTACTGAAACGTTCTTTAACATTCTGAATGAACAGAAAGCACAGAATGGATGCTGAGGTTAAGGATGCAACCTGGTAACATAATCAGAAGCAATTTTGCCAATATTGTTTCTTGACTCATTCAGATGAGGCATTCAGGCGAGACTCAGAACAGTCTTGCCTGAACACAGTCAAACTCCAAACTCTTTGGGATCAGTGGGGTTGTGCAAAGAGCATGAAGTTAATTCAAGCCAGCAAGATGAGTTGAGATATCTCTGAAATGCAATTAAAAAACCAACATTCATACCTCACGTGAAATTGTCAACAGCCTTAAGTTCAGGTACCAAAAACTTCCTGGCATACAAGGCCCATTGCTCTGTCTTTCAACCTACTTATACTTTTGCATATTTAATGAAACAAGACCTTTATTTCATACCTTGACAGAACTCGAGTACTTCCCCTCAGCTGTGACATCTCCAGCTATATTCAGTATGTTTTCTTTAGGTATCCTGACATTGTGGAACATGGCAAATCTGTTTAAACAAATACACAAACACAAATGTCTACATAGTCTGAGGTTTATTATTACAGAAAAAAGGTCACAAGGAAGATGAGATTGCAAAATTATCTCAGGTATGTCAGTGATCTGAAAGCAGTGCTCATCAAGCCAGGTCAGCAATTTTAGGGAAGTATGCCCAGGACAACAAAGACTTGCAGACTTACAGCAGCACAATAAATTCAAGAAAATAAATTATTTGTTGTAACTCTTCTGATTTTTAATTTTGGCTTTTAGAGGTGATGCTTACAAAACAAAAAAAAACTCACATCATTGACTCTAGGAGACCATTTCAGCAGCTTTGTAAGAAAAGAAGTAACAAAGTAATGGAAGGATGAGCAATGTATTCTGGTTAAGGGAAGGGACAAGTGAAGTTACTTATAAAAAACCTTGTACACAGGCAGTTTTCCAGATACTTTCACTGACACCTCAGAAAGCTGAACTGAATTCTCAGGCTGCATGACTTAGGCTGTCTAGGTTGGTATCTCAGCTGTCAAAAAGCTTGGGAAGATGAACAACTTCCTTCTGCTTCCTAGAATGGGATGGGGCCATTCTCATTCCAAGTAATTCCCTTCCTCAAACAATTTTGCAAACAATATTCTTGAGGTGTTGTTTAGTCCAGTCTGGAGACTGCTTTGGAATAGAGACACTATATATTTTTATGAGTCTAAAATACAGATCTGTGAGGACCACTCATTCCACTGCAATACAAATAAGGACATAGGTGAAATAGTGCTCTGAGAAGGAACCGAAAGGGAAATTTTCCTTTGTTTAAACTCAAATTAGGAATTCTGTTCCCTAAAATGTGGCATCTTGGAAGAGCAGGATAACCCTTTCTAAATTGCAGCACTCTAGCAGAAATACAGAGGGAAGTTGATATGTTCATATTCTTCAGGAAGAAAGTGATTGAACTGTTTCACCCAAATGGGCAACACAGTTTGGCACAATAGCAGCAGTATCAACCCGTCACGAGTATCTCACTATCTAACAGCACTTGAAAAGCTGTATTTGTAATCAAAGAAAATTCCTTTTTCCTGCCAATAAAGGCTAATCTATTTAATATGGCTCATGAGAGCCAGGTCTTCCACATTAATAAATTACATAAGGGGTGCATTGCTGCATGTGCTTTTAAATTATGAGTTGTTTCCAAGGAAACATATCTGAATACTGAATTTATTCAGCCTTAGAGAAACTCAGTATTTTCAGACTTAGAGAAAGGCATGCTGTCCCAACCAAGAGCCAGCTGCCCCAACAACGCTAATAAGTGCTTTGTTCAAGGCCAATTTCAGTGAGACTACACTACTTTGTAATAGAAGCAAATTCAGATTTTCCAAAAAATCTGATTTCCATCTACATTAATGTTTTTTTAATATCACTGAAAATAAAAAATCTCTTTCTAGAAAGATCTTTCAGCTAAATTCACATTCTCTGCTCCCTATATCCCAAACAGAATCACAACTAAAACTATACAACAACCAATATTTTTAAGCAATAGCATGCATCTTAGAAAGAACTTGATCTTTTTTATTATTATTATTCATTATTTTAATTATAGAAGAGTGTGTGTGGCAAGGTTCAGGTTTCTGGTTTACACTGTATTTTTCACAGTTGCTGTCCATCCATAGAATTCCAAGAAGGTGCTTCCTCCTAGGACCTTACAATGAAAGCATAAGGCAGGAAGCTACAAATATGTTCGAACAGTGAAGCTGACACTAATTACTGAAGAATATTTTCCTGATAGGATGCCTGCCAGTCACAGCACACCAGCAGCTCATCAATGGCATTTTTTTTACAAGCCATTAGAGCAAATGAGAATTTTAAGAAAAAAATGATGAAAGTGATGAAAGTAAGGGAGCTCCATGGATGTTTGTAAGGATCCCTCACAAGTAGGAGGGGAATGCATGGAAGAAAGCAATGAAATATTATTTTAAAAAGCTATTGAATGGGTGATAAAAACTGGAATTATAAGACAGACTAAAGGAAGAATTGACCTAACAGAGAGATGATACAGTATTTGGGGCACATGTTTATATAGACAATATTTTCAAGGGCTCCAGCTCTTGGGCTTTCTCTCTGCAAATACATCTCTGGAAGATGCTTAGCCTCATATGTGATGAATGTAAGATTTCATGGCAGTGTTCATAGCCATTAGGGTGGAAAACACCTCCAATATCAGAGTCCAGCCATTACCCCAGCAGCACCTTGTTCACCACTAAACCATATCCCCAGGTATGATATCCATACATCTTCTGAACACTTCCAGAAATGATGATTCCACCCCTTTTCCCTGGGCAGCCTGTCTCAATGTCTGAACACTCTTTCAGTGAAGAAATTTTTCCCAGTATCTAACCTAAACCTCCCCTGGTACAAATTGAAGACATTTTCTTTTGTTCTGTCATTTGTTACCAGGGAGATAATGACAATGAATAAAATGGCAAATTATCCTCTGTTATGTGCTGTGTTTTACACTGTAGTGACCAGTTCAATACACTGAGCAAAGTTGTGCAGTTGTAGAAAATTTTTTATATTGACCTGTGACTGAGACTCAAGCGTTCATAAAAAGCAAATTGAAAGCTGCTACTTTATAAATCTATATATCAATTGCCTACTTTTAGAAATTCCATGCCTACTCATAATGAACATGTGACAGATGTGTGCTGAACAAAACAGGTCCCAAGATTACCTCAACAATTTTACCCACTTTCACTTGCTGTAATACAATCCCAAACAGTTGAATCTAAGGGAAGTCTTCTGTTGGAACGAGTGAAAAACCTTCAAGAAAGTTTTATTATAATCTGACACAAATGTAAGGAAGCTAATTCTGTACCACATAAAAGATGACCTAAAATTATTATGATTAAAAACAACAAGCACACCCATCTTTAATAACTGCTTTCACAGCTAGTGAACCAGAATACTGAATTTCTTATCATTATGATAGTCTATTTTCTTAAAATCAAAATAAATTTAAGTAACAGGTTTTTAAAGTTTAGATTTTTCCCTTGATATTATCCATTATAGATATATTATAAAAATATATATATGGATATGCATATCAGATGGCAAAGATTTTAAAAAGCAAAGCAGAGCAGCAGAACTAGCAATTAAAAATTCAACAGAAAATTTCCATGTGTAAAGAAATAAGATATTTTGCCTATAAGCATGAGTGCTGAAAATAAAAGCAGAACCTCACAGGACTGGTGGGTTAAGCGACCTTGGGAGACTGCTGCCAACTGCTGTTATGCTCCTTCTCCAAGAACTTTGCTACTGGGAATTGTTAGACATACTGGCCAATTGGAACTTGATACTGGAACATATTAAAAATAAATAGTAAGATTTAATGAAGTCAACGATCACGTTTTTAATGGTTATTAGCCTAGAATGCATAGACTTGGCCCACATCTGTCAACGCATTTAGGGGGAAAATCTTCTTGAAGAACTGAAGAAATATCTTACAATAATGGAACTGTACACACAGTCATGGGGATATCATGTACCAGCAAGTTTGGAAAATGGCTAAATTTCACACAGTGATGACAAGACCAGAGGTTTGAAAGCTGCCCTACTCAGGGCCTCTTCAGCACAGCAAGTAGCATGACTGAGATTAAGACCTCTCAGCAAGACAGACAGACAACTGTCACTTTAAATAAATATCACAGGGCTCTACAGCAAAGTGCAATTCTGCATCATACAGACAGATTTTTTACCACAGATAAAAAACCCCAACTGTATCACACAGATTTCTACCAAGAGCAGCTGAGCAGGGTGAAGTGCCATTCCAATAGTAGCATTTTTGTTTGGGTTCTTTGGCCAGTAGTTTAGGGAACATTTCAAACTAAGTTAATCTCACTGACTTTAAATCATGCATTAGTAATTCATCTGGTGTGCAGTAATGCTGATAAAAGAGGAGCAGCTGGAAAAGCTACGAGCTCCTTTTGCCAGTACTAAACTAATAAACTGTTACCTATAGTACAAATAGCTCAAACATGCTTTGGTGAAATTCAGACTCACTAAAATACCTTTTCTGCCAGCTTTTGGTACTGACTACATTAGAGATGGTGCAATCATCTCTAGTGCCAGACTTCCAGCCAGAAACAGAAAGCAGGTGAATGGTATGGGAAGGCTGTGAGTCAATTGGTATCAGGGCTGTTTATGGGATACAGTAAACCTTGGGAAGAATAACATTTCAGAGGTTTGATGAAAAACTTGCAGAAGGAAAGAAAATTGCCACATATTCTAGACTAAAGCTCACAGAAAGGTTAGAGTTGAAAAGAGTTATAGTGAAACTGGGGAAAACAGCACTATTTTAGTTTTATTTTCTACAATCAAGGCTCTAATCTAAGAATGCAGCTCTGTACTGCTATGGCAATGATAAAACAGCATAGCAGTTTATAGGCCTCCTAATCCTAATGAACTCCACAGGCACACAAAGACCCACTCACATTGAAGTTCTTACGTTCCAAGTGCCAGTGTTGAGAGGAGCTTTGGATGTGCAGCTCCTGCTGCTGTTGAGAGCTGACAGAGCTCTGCTAAGGAACAAAAATGGTTGGTTGAAGTTCACTGCAGATGTGAGGCTGTCCTTCTGTAGGTCAAAAAACAAATGTGTGACCAGATCTAAATCTACCTTTCCCTATTTACACCCACATCAAGTACCTTTCAGTGTGAAGTTGCTATGGCTGTAGTTTTGAGGCACAAGAACATGACAAAAAATGAGGGGATAAGGCATCACTCTGCAGCAGTGTGACCACAGCCTAGTAACAGGCACAGCACTGTATGTACCCTCACAGTGTCCAGCCCTGACTGCAGAAACTGCATGAGGAGGGCAAAGCAGGGAAATGTCAATGATTCTGCTGCAAAAATTATGGCTTTAACTTAAACTGAAAACATGCAATATGTGTTTGCAAAATAGCTAGTTTGTCAATGATTCTGCTGCAAAAATTATGGCTTTAACTTAAACTGAAAACATGCAATATGTGTTTGCAAAATAGCTAGTTCTAACTGTGAAAGTGGCACTTTTCACACGGACTAAAGTTCTCATGATAACATAAATACAGGTACGAGCATTTTAACATTCTTTTCTCTTCTATAACCACTTCATAGATACTGCTATTGCAATTGTTTGAAACTTGGGTAAGAAGCTATAAGTCAATAAAAAATATTACACAAGCCCAAGCTGGTTTATTTGGGAAGCAGGACCAATTTTTACACTTTTTTTTTAATTTCTTACATCTCTGTTCTTTTTCCTATACCGAAAGTCTTAAGTCCTTACAGTGAACCAGACCTGTCAAATTATCTGACTGAAGACAGCAAAAAATGGTGGTTTTTTTTATAAGTTTTCAGGCTGTTCCAGTTCCCTAGCTGAGTCCCCTGTAGCTACATAAATGTTCATCACAGCAGAAAAATAAAAAGACAGTGTGAGAGTAGAAGCAAATAACCAAAGAGGTTGATTATGGATACTATCTTCACTGAGCTACTGTTTCAGATTGAAAGATTAAGCTCCAAAGACAATTTAGGCTTCAACCATGTATTATACTTCCTATCTTCCTCCTGAAATAACTGCAACAGTTGCAAAATCTAAATGACCATTAAGAGGATAAATAGTAGAAGACAAAAAGAACTAGACTTTAATTTGTTCTGTCTTTAAACTAGCAATAGCAGCATCATAATGTATTACTGGCAGTGATACTGAAATAGTGATGAAGAAACAAAGTCAGAACTAACATTTAACATTTGTAAAGGCTTGGAAGTCATGTGATACATCCTATCTTTGCCAATAAACAATAAATTATAGTGAGGGCTTTCTGAGCCATCTCTTTCCAGAAGGGATTAGTTTACACAATTTATTGCTTTTCTGTCCAATAAATCCCCTTTACCCATTCCTTCTTGGGTGTTTTGTTTTGTTTTCCATATCCAGAAAACTGAATCTAGCCTCACTGATTGCTAGAGAACATGCTGAACATTCTAGTGTGTTGTATGTATGCAAAGATTGACCTCATTTTAATTGTACACAAAAGGCTGTTGAACAGCTAATAAACATCATCAGTTTTCCCAGGCCACGATTATCATTAGATCCAGTTAACAATTCTTCCTCCAGAAAGACCCTTTTCTTCCCTACAAAGGCTTAAGGTAAAATGAGTTTCATTACTTTAGTTCTTCCCTTACAAAAGGTTTTATCTGCTCAACAAACAGTAGATATGTTATCAGTGGATGCAGCCGAATAAGCTCAGAACATGTTCTACAGAGACAGGCATGGTAAGCACCACTTCAGAAATACAATTATAGATGATTTTCACTCTTCCCCATACAGATTCAGTTGGGCATTTCCATCTCTGGAGAGAGGAAAGGAGAAATTTGCTACTAGTTAAAACTGGATATGAAACTGGTTCACCAGCAAATCAGTGCCAATCATTTACTGATGTGCACTGAAATAATGGGTAATCTGGGACATGTTCCAGTAGCAAAGGTACATCCTTCCCCACCCCCCACCCCCAAAAAAGAACCAAACAAACCAACAAAAGAAACCACACACCAAAGGAAGAAAACACAAATGCACATCAACACATAGCCCAGCTCTTGCTTTATGTGTGTGTCACCTCCTGACTCCTTATGCCTGCCACACAGTTTATTGAAAAGCCCCTGAAATCCCAGATACTCAGGGATTTTTTCAGCAGGTTTTATTTTCCCCCATCTACTACCATTTTGGGTCCCCAGTGAGCAGCATACATCAAAGAGTGCCAGAGCACTAGCAACAGGTGGACATTTCAATATTATAAAATAAAGACTGAAGCATTTGCATCCCCTGGTGGCAGTCTGATTTAATTTTGGTAATAAAACACAAAACCAGTCTAAACTCTCCAAAAGAAAAAATAGAGATCTATTTTTAACCCTTTTATGTGTTGATTACACAATTTATTGCACATGTCCTAGAAAACGAAAAATATTTTAAAATATTTTACAATGATTTTATCCTTTTTTTTTTGTCAGGTTAGCTAAAGTTACAAAGACCTGCAAACACCATGTGATTTTTGGACATTCAAATTATCAAACTATGAGAATTATTTGGAAAGTTAATTTTAGAAATAGATTTACACTGCAAAAAATCCGTTATTAGTTCTGAAATCCTTTCTCTTACTAAAAACATTACACTCTGCATATGCAGGAAACCAGTTTTCAGTCAAATAATCCAGGAGATTGTTTTTTAAAGCCAGAATGGACAACTACAATCAACTACTCTGTTTTCTTACATAGCATAAATCAACAGCATTTTACAAGGAGGCTCTGGAATTTCTCCTCCATGACCTCCTTTACTGTTCAGGAGCTTAACTCTCTGTCCATATTGAAAATTATTAGCATAAATTTCTTGAAGCACAGGAACAAAATCAAACATCTCTGTCAGAGATGTCAGACTCTGATCCCCACTCTGACCACATATCCTGAGTGTAACTACATGGAACCTGATTTACTAGGTGTTCAAGGTAGTTGGAGCAGACTTCACAAACACATTCAATAAAACCTGGCAATGCATGTAGTGGAGACTAATACTTGTAGCCACAGTGTAAGGGAAGGTTTTCTCCTCTCCACATCCAAGTCTGTGCTTTCTCTGGGATAAACAAGGACGTAAGACTGCTAAATGGCCAAGGAGAGCACCTTGACAAGGCACTATCTGGTGAAATATCTCCCTGTGGATCCTGGCATTTTGCAGATCATGCAGCCAAGAGCCCACTTTCTAGTGTGGCATGGCTTGCTGTCTCTGCAAACAAATGCAGAACTTCCTCTCCAGTCCCCATCCAGACCTCCTGAGAGCTGACATCTGCAAGCCCTGACACTTCTGACATCTCAGCATGAACAGGAAGGCTGCAGAACAAAACTTGGTTCCCTGGTTCTTGAGAACAATGTTGGCCTACCTCTAATCTTAGACCTCTCCAAAAAGAAAGTAGCTAAGGTAGCTCAGGAATGGGCCCCTAGAGTTTTTAGCTGAATGAGGGGTTATCTATGGGTAACCTTGGGCTCCCTCATCCTTCTCTCTTAATCTGCAAGTGCTGCCTTAAGGTTTCTAATGCAGGGACTGTCTTAATGCATACTGAAGAGATATATATATCCATGATTAGGGCTCTTTGGGAACTACTGTTTGAACATAATACTATTTTTTTGTTAAACATATGCAAAGTAAACAGAAATGCCCTATGACTGCTTTAAATGACATATGATATCAACTAAGATAAAGGACTCCATCCAACATTAAGATAAGAAGTCACTGGTATCACATTTAAAGGGTATTTTATGGATTATAATTTCAAACTATTCAGTTATTACCAGTATTTTAAGAAATACTCCATTTTTTCCCAGTAGATAATGGAGAGATGGATTTAAAATTATGTACATTTTAAAGTCACATAACAAGCATACTCTTCTTTCCTATGTTGCACATAAATCTATATTGCAATATAAGAACGAACAGCAGAATTTAAATACTTCTACAGAAATATGAATAACATTTAGATTACTCAGGCCCATGCTGCTGTGCCATCTGGTGGCTACTAGTCTATAATGCAGAAGCAGGAAAAAATACCCATCGATCCTTAAATGTCCTTCTTTTCACGTCTTTCTCATGGTTTTGCTCTATGAATTAATTTTGGGTTGTTTTGGGTTTTTAAAATTTATTTCTTCTGTGTCCTTAGGAAACAGAGAATCAACACAATAAGCTAAATAATCATAAAATTCCTACAACCTTCTGGAAAGTCAGTCAAAGCCATAATATTTGAAACCAGGATACTTTAAGATGTCTATACTATGTTTACTGCAATGGTCTGGTTTGAAGGACAATACATAAATATGTAACGAACTGAATCAACAGAAAGAAGCAAATTTATGGCATACAGAAGTAAAACCACTCTTCACCATTTAAAGTTTACGTCTTTATACAGAGCTACGTTAACTAAGGCAAGAGTTTAAATAATTTTTACAGAATGACTGTTTTAATGCAGAAATTGACCTCTGTTTCCTCACTGTATCTCCACTGTATCAGACACCTTTGGTTAGTAAAATAGACAGAGAAAGGCCCTTGGAACCCATGACTAAAGAAACAGAGCCAAGTACATTTTTATTTCAACTGTACATGACTGAAGAAACGGAGCCAAGTATTTAATTCAACTGTACATACGTAATAGAGAAAAAAGTAACTAGCCTTCTCTTTCTTGGCTGCAGTCTAGAAATCCCATAGTTAAAACAAGATACATAGTTTCTCCCTTCAGCCTCATAAATCTTAATCTTTACTGAAAACAAACCTTGTCTAGGGACCACCACTAACTTTCCTGTGGGCTGGAAATCAACAGAAAAAATAATTAGTCTTACACCCAGATGGGTGCAGAGGCTGATAAAGTTCTCTACTCAGAACTTGCTAGATTTTTTTTTCCATTGTTATTGTTGAAGAGTCTATAACTGCAAGACTGCTTGGGGATATTCACAGAATATCAGGAGCACTTCACATTTTAAAGAGTGAGAAAGGCTGAAAGGCTGTTTATTCAGATAAAAAATGCTGAAATTCAAGATCTTTCAGTCTGGGGTCTTTTTCTAGAAATATCAACAATTTAAAACCACTAGTAAACACTTCAGGAGTAAAGACAGAATAGATATAGGGGGATCTTTGCACCACTACATTGTGATATAACCTAGAATGTTTTCTCTTTCAAATGTAATGACTTACCCATTATCCAACCCATTCTGCCCAAGCTTCTTTCCTACGTCACCTACCATCACACCTGGCATTGGTAGGAGAGTTTTTGTGTCTCGAATCTGTAGAGAAGTAAAACAAAACATTTCAGTAATGGAACAATGAAAGTTAGTGGCTGAATGTTTCAAAAGTTTAAAGTATTCCCAACTTGTACCCTGCTGCTAATAATAAAGAGATCTCACTGCTTCTTTCAAGCACATAATCCTGGATATAACTTGTACTTGTGCATCCTCTCATTCAGGACATAGATACTTTAATTAAAATTACTTTGAAAGATTACACTAATTGCACCACTGTGCTAAATATCCCTTAACACTGATGACTTCTCTCATCAGACTAGCACTGAAACCTCCTTCAGGTGTACACAGACACAGCAGAAACCAATGGAATTTTTATGTAACAATCAGCTTTGAGGTATTCCCCAGTTCTGTAATAAACTTTGTTCAGTATGCAACGAGTTCATTTTACTACATACAAGTCTTTTATTGCACCGACATATTTTCTGATGCCTTTAATCTTTTAAAATTATTTCTGTGGTGGAATTTTGCAGATTTCATGCAGATCAGCCTGCAGCACTGGCAGACATAAATCATCTGATGCCCTGTGCAGAAAACTGACAGTATAAAACTAGCTCTACAACCTTCATAAAATCAGTGAACATTTAAAAAAAGTATCCTGGTTACAACTGCAATAAACTGTGAAGGTATTATATAAAGAATCAGCTGGCCAGATATAAATAATAGTATAAAAAAGTCTTTTAATTTGAACCCACTCTTCCCCAAAAGAATAAAAGGATTAGCAAATTTCCACCCTACCTGTACAACAAAGGAATGTAAACCTTGGCACTGTCCATCAGGAGTATAGAGTTGGGCATACAAAACTGCATGAGTGGCATGTTTCCCCATATTACCAACCCAGAACTTTGCAGCTTCAAAGTCAGGTGTATTGATGACAAATTCCTGTAATCAGGAAAGGAACAGAAAATTATGTCAATAATAAAAATCAGGTCACAGCTATTATTTTTTCATCAACCTGGCAATGTTTTGAAAATATTCATTAACTGAAAGGATTTTATTCTGTACTGCATCCCAGCACCTGAGATCTCTCTTATTGTGTTCCACTTTGGAGAGAACACATGCATTAAGGAAAAGGTTTAGAGTTTAAAAAGCTCATTGCCTCATTATAAAGCCTGAAACTCAGCTTTTTTAGTTGCTCATTTAAGCAGTCAAAAAAACAGAAAAGCAGGTCTTTTCCATGGGCTGGGAAGCATTTCCTAGGTCTTAGGTTAAACTGAGCTCAAGTTCAAGCAAAGAACTGAGAGAGCTGTTTCAGCTGTGAGAGCTGAAGCCTGTGCAGTGACCAACTCCTTACACAGTTCTGCATGGAAAGGAAGCCTGGCTGACAGTGTGTGTCAGGAACTAACCTGAGTGCTAGGATCAAATGTGGCCGTAGTCCTTATGCCTTTGGTGTTAGTTCCATGGCTGAGTTCAGTCAGAGCAAAACATCCAAAAATCTAAAGAAAGAGATACAGAGCACAACTCAAGACCACTTCATTACATTAATTAAAACTGCAAGACTTTCAAATGATTTAAAATTCAGCTGCTGGAGAATAACTTGACGAAAACCCCCCAAAACAAAACAGGAAGTGATAAAGAGCAACAAAAGAAGCACAAAGCTCAGTTTAAGTGCTCTCAGAATATTTATCTTGGAAAGTCAAAGGGGGTTTGGCCAGACAGTGAACACTGCCCACATGGCCTACACTGGAGAAACTATTTAGGATTGGCACCTTTTATATCAGACAGGCTGCATTTATTCTGCGGAGTACTTGGTCCCGACTCCCCACTGAACTCCATGTGGCGTTTCTTTGGCATTAAGAAATTATTATTTTCCATTTTATAGTGTTAGAATGGAATTTTTATGGCAACACATCAAGGTTAATGACTCAGGACAGAACCTAAACTGGTGTAATGTCATCTATTACTGCCTTTTGGGAAAAGTTCCCAAATTTTGTCTGGATGTTAACTTCAACAGCCTAAAACGCATCCAGGAAGTGGTTTATGAGCTAGTAGTGAGGACAGTCAGAGCTCAATGCCTGAATCTGCTCCATGGTATTTTCTTTTGCTATTTAGAGATACCTAGGTATGTGAAGAGATCAGAAATTACACAAAACAGCAAATAGTGACACAGTTCTAATAGTGTCCATTTCTCACAAATTATTTAAAAAAATTACCTCCATGCGATAAGCTTGTTTCAAGATGTGTACAAATCTCTTAGAAGCACTCATAATTGAAGACGCAAATACCTGTAAAAATGAGTAATGAATGAAATCAGTGCCCTGTGATGAAAAGCACAAATTACACATGATTTTTAATAGTGATGTCCAGTAAAGAGACCAGGGAAAGTGGGCTGCAAAACATTATATTATAATTATATAATTATAGTAAACAATAATTAAACTATAGCTGGGGGAGGTTAGTCAGGATTTGATCTTGTCAATACCCCTTTACAGATGACTGAACTTGTCCCAGCTCTAACCTGTTCAAGCCTTCATTGCAAATGCCGAAAAAATTCTTTCCACTTGTCATAAGTGATGTTCCCTTGAGCAAAGGAAAACTCCAAGACTACCTTAGTTCATTTTATTGCAAACAGATTGGGAACTGAAGGTAGCTACTTCAAGATCAAACAAGAATGCTGATTTGAAAGCTACCTTCAGTTTTCCTACATAGGTATTCACACAACAAAACTCTAATTCCTAGATACTCCCCAGCTATGTGAATACTAATAATTAATTTATTAATTATTATTGAAACTGATAATATTTGACCAGCTATGTTGAGCATTCTTTGTGAGAGATCCATCTGGGAAAAACTGATTAACAGAATACAGCCACTGATATCAGTGAGAAATTTTGAACTGCTTTCCATTACTTCTGGGTTCTCCCCTTCATTAAGACACTGGGGCTTAGAGCAGGTAACTTTCTGATACCTGCAAATCTTTAGCAAACACAGAGCCACCAACAACCAAGTTCTTTGGCTGCCCTAGAGAGGAGGCAGAGGAGTAAACAAAAGAAGGCATCAAAATTTTTTCTGCATCTCTGTCTGTACTGCATTACCTTTACTTTCCAGGTGGGATTCCAGTTGAGACCGAGGTTTAACAACAAAGATTACCCACAGCTCTCTGACTCTTCTAAACAGTTAAAACTTAATACCATTTTTGAAAAGAAAGGATGAGGAAAATAACAACTTTTGATTAAAACAGGCATAAAGCAACAGAATTATGGTATTAGAAGTGACTTAAATCCAAACATACACCACTATAACCCTTGAAGTGTACTTACACCACTATGTAAGACAAACTGGAGACATGGAGACCAATCATACATTCCTATACAGAGCAGCGTATTAAAAAGCCTTAATGGGTTCTCCATCATCTCTTGATGAGTAAGAAAGTCATACTCAAAGAGCCTTTTACAGCGCAGGAATGTCACCTCCTGATATTTTTCACGGCACAAATCTTCTCCAGGATGGTGTGCAAAGAGAGGGTCATTTTCCAGAGCAGAGAAGATTCTGTTCTTGGAGAGGAAAAAACTGACATGAGAACATTAACCTAAAAGCATTAATAAAAACAGTTAACTTTCTTCTAGAGTAACAGTGGGTCTCAAACTACAATCATTTGCTAGAAGGTATAAACCTATAAACCAAAAATTCCAGAGAATTAAAAAATACATTTAAATGGCCTGTCATATACAGCTCTTGCTAAATTTTATGACATCTTCTTCACCATTAAATGATTCATTGATTAATTCTGAATCCGTAAGAACAGTATGGTCAAACTTACTTGCTTTGTGTAGCAGCTTCACTGTCTCAATATATGAAGCTACTGGCAGAATCTAAGGGGCAGAAGTCCCTCAGTCTGAGCATAAAGGTAAAACTCCAGGGCTTAGAGTTTCAGTTAGAAATATGCAATGACATATATGCAATGGTAAAGCCATTAAGCAACCACAACTGCTCTGTTCCCAGATGAAAGTAAAAAAAGACTCCATTTAATGGAACCATCGTATGCAACCCTTCAATGTGGGGATGTGCATCTTTTAATGTTGTCATTTAGATCCTTTTTGTATTAGATAATATATTATGGCACCTTGTTTATCCCAGAGCTCTGTCTTCAAGATATCCACATCTTCTTAATTGTCTTTCACATAAGAAGGAAGAAACCCAGACCTCCTGTGCTTTCCTTTGAAAGGCAGTCATTCCCTTTCTCTGTGTAAACAACTCTACATGCCCACATAGGTTTGAAACTCCTTCAGACACAGGGAACTTGTGTTTTTTTTCTGTGCTCTAACACACACCAGTCAGATACAGAACCAGGTCTTTCTGATTTCTCTGACCTACCTGCTAGGATTTTTATAATTATGGTGAAGATTCAAGATTAGCTTAAATCCACACAAATCTACACCACCTTTCAAAAGCTAGCCCTTTGTCCTCCCAAGTCATGAATTTCCTCACCATCTCTTGTGCTGTAGTTAATCTCTTTTCATGGTAGGGCTAGCTTTCAGCAAGTTTCACATGCTAATCTTCAACTGCAATGCCACATAAGCATTAATGGAAACACAGAACATTGTAGGAAATTAAGTCAAAGACAGAAATACTGTTAGACAGAGGCTCGAACTTAGCTCTGCATTAGTGCCTTGCAAAACCATAGGGTCTATGATTTAATGCAAACAGTAAAGAAGTATAATAGAATATAATTCTTTCTCAGTTTGAAATGAACACTCAAGTTCTGAAATGTAGCACCTGCTGGTCTCCCCTGTAACTGATGTTCAGTAATTAAATGAGCCTTAGCAGAGTAGATTGCTTAAAATTTGAGCTCTGTTCTGAAAAGTGGCTGTGCAAATCAAATTTTTTTATTCTCCATATTTACAAAGTATTATTAACTATAATGTAGGTAATGCAGCTAAAGTATTATTAACTATGTTTTTTGAAAAAAAAAATAGTTACTTTCACTGATATCTCCACAATTAAAACATGCTTACAATTCTTGCAAAATTTACCTTCAGCTGGATGATATCTTCACCATCTATGAACATTGCCATCTCCTTCCAGTTGAAGGAAGCTTTGTCACGATACCTGGAAAGCGGGCCTTTAGGGAAATCTGGCAGCAAACTATCCCATGAGTTTTGGTTGCCAGTCATTTCTTTCTGATTCAGTGTGGATGCCATTGTTAGCTAAACTGCAGCAAACAAGATAAAACACAAACTGAAGCACCACAGACGTATGGGTTTGTTTTCATTTTTTAATTATTAAAATAAATTAGAAGAGTTGTTAATTAAATCCATGGACTTGTTTAAAAGTATGAGGGTGATAAAAAGGGTGTGATCAAAGTCCCAGGTGAGAAAATACCATTTCTTAAACAACAAATGGAGTAAGGCCCCATGAAGTCTGCTGGCTACTTGAGTGCATCTATGGGTCAGGTAAGAGCACTACAGAACTGCACCGACCCTGCAGAATTTCCCTGTCAGTAGGTACAACTGCACTGGTTCAGGAGAGAAGTCTTGCTGCTCATTAGAACCCGGCCCAAAGAAGTAGAGGCTGAGCCTCTGCTGCTTCCAGAAGCTGCTGCTGGAGAGCCCTCTGCTGCTCACGGTACACCCAGCGGTTCCTGACACCACAGAGACAGCAGAGAGATCTGCTGTGCTTGCAGGGTGCAAAAACCACAGGACAGGGCAGCAGAAGCTGGACACAATTTAACAGGACTGACTAAAAGAAGCAACTCAAAGGTATACCTAGGACATCCTGGCCCAGGGCTGGCCAAAGGCTCAGTACAGACCTTGAACATAATGAAGTACAGAAACTACTTCAGCAGTCTGCTTTTTCCCCCTCATAATCTTGATATACCTCCTTGATACCTCTCTTTCAACCTTATCCTTTCACGGAGGTCATCCCCTAGTTCTGAACATTACAAACACAGTAGAAGAGAACAGCAGTACAGTATTTCTGCATGTGACTTCCAAATCAGTTCAAGGAAGATGCAGCTCCAGTATTGAGCAACAGGTTTGGAAAGAAAAAAAAAAAAAAAGACATTGCGAAAGTGTTTCAACCTCCAGCCAAATAAACAGATATTACACTTCTAAATGGAAAACAGGTAAATCAGGCAGCAGTTGGAAGCTTTCACTCATAGAAGAGAAAAAAATACATTGGAATGTTGCAGCTATTACATTTAACTTTATTTACATTGCAAATCAATGATATTACCCAAATAAGAAAACCTAAGAGTTTATAAAAAAAAGGCATTCTGTACTTAAAATATATTACAAATTGTCAGACTTCATATAATTTGGCACCAGGTCAACAGTTTCAAAACTAATTAAGAAATCGAAAGAGGTGGTTACAATAGGAAAATTAACAATGGCTGCCCTAACGAATAAATTCAGTGTTAATTTCAGCCTTGCTCTGAAATTTTGAAACGTGTGTGAAGGTGGAAGTTAAAACCACATTATTTTCAATTTGCAAAGAACTGCTGCAGTTTCACTGCAAAATGTTGAGTTGGAAACTTTTTTCCGTGGAAAGTGCTCCTGCCAGGAATTCCAATTCATACCCGGGCACCAAGAAAGTGTCATAAATCACAAGGGCTAAGGTCAGTTCGCAGGCTACTATCCTCAACTATCTTGCCTAACAAATGACACAGCTCAGACTTGGTGGTTGTCAAGAATAATGATAGTGTACCCTTATGGCTAAGACCTTCTATAAGTAGTGTTTTATTTTATTTTCTAGTGGCTCTGTATTGCCGAGCAATCTGCTGCCGGCAGTCGCCCAGAGTAGGACAGCCCCGGGCAGGGTAAAGGAGAGCCCCGGGCAGGGTGAAGGACAGGATGGCCCCGGGCAGGGTAAAGGCAAGGCACGAAGCGCTTCTGTGCGGGCTCATCGCACGCCCGCTCTTCGAGCGGCCCGAGCCCACGGCAGGGCCTCGCTTCTGCTCAGACAGGACAAAAACAGACTACAAATGCACTGTTATTTGCTAAAAAAAGTGTACCGAGATGTCTCCCTGTTGGGCCGGGCTGCCTGTCCAGTGTCAGTCAGCCGTCCCGGTCTGGATTTTGCTCTCAGGAGGCGTTTTCACGCAGCTGTTCTGCGCCCGCTGACACAGGGGCACAGACCTTCCCCCGACAGAGCTGCCCATGCGGTGACGACCCTCCAGCCTCACGCCCTGCTGGGAGCTGGCGGCTCCCCGTGTTTTCAGCCGCAGGACGACACCGAAGCGGTCCCTCCCGGCATCTGGAGCCTCAGAGCCGGAGGCTGGGGCGAGGGGACCCGGTACCTACCTGCGGCTGCCGCTGTCTCCGCCTCGGGAACTGACGGGAGCAGCCTGCGACGCGCTCCGCCTCCCGGCGCAGCGCGGCGGCAGCGGGCGGTGGA